TAATGATCTATAAAAATTCTTGAAATTCATACCTGGGAGTCAGGATGTTACAAAGTGATACTTGAGCTTGAAAGTGCCTAAAATACCCCCTTTTGGTGTGTTCGCAAGGAGAAGGAAGTGGTGAGCAAGCCTTGAATGTGGGAACAGCTTTTGGATCCTACATGTAGAGCATCTTGAGGAGCTTGTGGAGGTAAAAAGCTCATACCTTGCTATTGTTTTTGCTATTTTGAGTTAGGGTTTGGTTTTAAGTCCTTTCTTGGTCCATGAACCCTCTCTTGCGAGTTTGGGCAACTCCAAAGGGTTGAGATGTTAGATCTAAGCTCTTTGGTTATGTTGAAAGCATAAAAAATTGTAGCTTGATGATTATTAAGGCACCATGCATGAATTTAAGGTCTTAAAAGGGGTCTTAATGGGTTAAATGAGGTGTTCAGTTCCCATGTGGCATTCAACGGCATAAAGGTGCAAACTTTATGCCCTAGGACCTCTTAGTCGACTCAGATCTGGTTTTGGACATTGAGTTTTCGCGTATTAAGCACTTAATGGATGTTGGTGCACAACCTGCTTGTACGTTGGGCGTACTATCTTGTACGTTGCGTGTACCCACCACAGAACCTAGTACACTAAGCGTACTAAGGTTGTACGATGGACGTACGCCTCCAGTGGGTGTTGGGCTTTCAGTGCGCTTTTGAGCCATTTGGGCCTACTTTGCCTTGGGCCTGTATCGATTAGGGTAATTGTGAAACATCCCAAAAATACAAGACAATAATTTTGTTTTTAAAATCATTTAACAAACATAATCTCATCAATAAAATAAATCATCAAACATATATCTCAAATCTCATAAAATCTGTCAACAAATAATTGTCTGGAAACAATATCAGAGTAAACTCCCAGGCTAATCAATTGTGGTGTGTTCCATGCCATCAGCTCGATCCCTTCCCTTTGCTAGCTGAAGTACCTGAAACCAAAACTGAAACTGTACACACGAAGTTTAGTGAGCTCCCCCAAACTACCACATATCATATAAGCACATATAACAACTACTGGGCCCCGCCCACCACATCAGGCCCCACCTGGCATTGGACCGAAGTCCAGAATAACTTGGGCCCTACCCATTGCATCGCGCCCCGCCCACTGCATTGGGCCCCGCCCGGCATCGGACCAAAGCCCGGAATAAATTGAATCATAACATAAACTAAAACATATAATATACTCGCATAAACTGCATCGGGCTTGCCCGGCATCGGACTGGAGTCCGGAACACATAACACATAACATACACATGCATGAATCACAAATACATCAAGCATACTAACTACTTCTCGGGACCACCCCTGCATCAGACTAAAGTCCAGAATAAACTGAACACATAAACTGCACATATAAACTGCATCAGGCTAACCCTGACATCGGGCTTACCCCGGCATACTGTAACTACATAACGAGGCGGCATTGGTGCTTTAGACCCGTTCCTACTGGAGGAAAACTCACCTCGTATGTATGATTGTTGAAGCTCTGGGTGAGGAATCTTTGCTTGCTGCTCCGGCGACTCTCCAGCTATAAATTCCCATAAAGACACTTAGTCAAAAACTGATAACTAACCCTAGGGTAAAATGACCACTTTACCCCTAGCTAAAGTCAACATCCTTGTTAAAGTCAACTTCCAGTTGACTCGACTCACCAATTTGTCTCCAACCCGACTCTACTCATCAAGTCTAGCAAGAACTCGACTAGTTCTCCTTTAATCATAACATTAGGATAATCTTTAACTACCTCGCTGAGTTCCTCCTTGAACTCGTTGAGTTCATCTTCATCATATGAGCGTGTCTAGTCTGGGACTCGCCAAGTTGTATGAACAACTCGTCAAGTCCGTCTTCATGGGTTGGGAGATTGCCTTGGACTCGTCGAGTGCGTTCATCCACTCACCGAGTCCCATGGTTTCCAGGTCCATAACTATGTCTAATTCGTTGAGTCCTTCTTCTGGTCTCATCCAGATCCCTTCTAAACTCAGTTGGATCCCTTCGAATCAGAAAAGGTTAGGGAACCAAACCCCCGACTCGCCGAGTCCCAAGAACGACTCACTGATTCGACTCATGTCCATGTCCAAAACTTGATTTCTGTTGTGCAAAACTCATCCAAAAGGTAGATCTGGGCTCCTAATGTCGATATAACACGTAAAGTCATGAATTTTACGTGCATGCATGGGACTTTTAAGTTCAAAGGACCAAAAATGGTGTTTATTACATGCATAGGGTTCTCATGGCCACAAAGATGGCACATTTATGCCATGAGGACCCTTCAAGGTTCCAGATCTAAAGGTGTATCAGCTCGGGAAGTCCAAGTCCCATGAATCAAGCTTCTTGGCCCAAAACTCCATAAAAATAACCACAAGGAGATCTAAGAAACCACAAGTCAAGTGTGAAGCTTGATTACCAGGAAGTAAAGAGAAGATGATGTTGTTCCTGGATCTGCAACCTTCTCTTGAAGCCTTCCTTCTTCCTCTTCTTCACACAAGCTTCAAATTACACAAGATTACTCAAAATGGCACTAAATAGCTCAAAGATGCTCACAACTGCTTAGGGTTTCAAGGATAGGGCTTGGGGTGATGGAGGCTTGGGTGGAAGCCTCATAAGTTGTTTAAATAGGGTGCAAACCCTCCAATTTAGGGTTTCACTCAGACAGCTCCTACTCGCCGAGTCGGCCTTCCGACTCGTCGAGTAGGTCAATTAATCCCCCAACCCGGTGTTGATCCGCCGAGTCCAAGAGTAAAATATGAAGTTTGACTTAAATTTAAATGCGTACCTGAGACCGGTTGTTACAAATTGGGCCTTGGAATTAATATCGGGTGTGGCATGGTTGGGCCTATTGGGCCTTGTGGCCCATTATTGTTTTGGTCCTTGGATGTAGGCCCATTTAGGAAGAATGACTTTTGGGCCTTAGTGGAGGAGTTTGGACTTAGGATTTTGGGCCCTTGGTTGGGTTTGTGTCATAATCCTAATTATAGTAATTGTATATCTTTACAGTGTGAGATTTAATTATAGTAATTGTATATCTTACAGTGTGAGATTTTGGATTGGTAGCCAAGCAAATATTACTTTTAGCAGACCGAAGTGAGTCTTTTCTTGGTATTACGGGTCGAAAGCACCAAGGTCGGCCCATGATCTGTTATGCAATATGTTAATTGTTGTGTGTTGTATGTTATGATCGGGTTGAAATACACCCTAAGGCAGGGGCCCAATATGATATGTCGGGTTGAAATATACCCCAGGGCAGGGCCCACTATGAATTGTTGGGTTGAAATACAACCCAGGGCGGGAGCCCATATTTGTGTTGGGTTGTATGAACCCCAGGGTTGGGCTCATTTGTATGCTTGGTATGTGTTATTTGGAAAACTCAATAAGCTTTGCTTACAATTTATTTTGGGTGTTTCAGGTACTTCCGGTACTAAGGGGAAGGATCCGACTTGACGGCGCAACATTCACTCTCCAGCATTTTCTGCATTTATTGTTACGGATACTCTGATCTTTTGCCATGACTTGATGTAATGGATTTCTTTTAAACAAATTATGAATGAAATTCCCGATTTAAAAATGAACAATTTTATTTGTAATTTTTTGGTTGTTACATTTTATATATTGTTTCTACATATAACAGCTTTATGACTGACTTGATTACATTTGTTGCATTTTGCAGACGGTGTATTCCACGATTTGAACACAGGATGTCCCATTTTACAACAATTCTTACAAAGTGAATACATTTTTTTTTAGGTTTGAACTTCGCTTTGTTTTTGGTTGTTGATGGAATCTTCAACAATGGACATTGACGGGGCCTTTTGTCATACTTCTTCCTTTGCTTTCGTTGATCTTGATGTTTGGCTGGTTGAGCACCTTCAACAATTTGTTCATGTCTACAAAACCTATGTTTTTCTTGTGCTTGGAACATGTTTAACAATTCTGCCAAAGTAATTTTTTATGGATCCCTAGTATTCTCCAAGGTGTTTATTGAAGCTTCATATCTCTCAAGGTACCGTAACAAGGAAAAATTCAAAAATAAACCTAGAGATGATCAAGCATACCTTGTTTCCAATATCCATTAGTCTGTTCGGGTACTCCTTGATAGTTTGAGACTCTTTAATTCTCTACATTTCAAATTCTCTAATCTAGTTGAGAGTTTGTATGCCTTGAATTATTTCGTCTCCTTCTTATTCTTGTTTTAGATAATCTCATACATCTTTTACATATTTGAGGCACATAATTCTTGTGAATCTAGTTGTGGAGACTACAAAAAATAGAATTTTGTTCTCCTTTGACTTCCTTGATTTTTGATATGAACCATGATAGGATTTTCTGGAAGTTGAGGAATATCATAGTCTTCTTTTACAGCTTCACAAAGATCCATGGCTCAAGATAAGATGCTATTATCGCATCCCAAAGCTTGTAATTGTCACCATTGAGATAATGAATTGTGAAATATTGCTTTCAACCATGGTCCTCACAGATCTCTCAAAAAATCAACTCTAATACCAATTTGGTTGTTTTAAACAAATGAAAAGAAGAAAATAGGGTTGTAAACATGAAGAAAAAAAAAAGTTCGTAACTTATGCAAAAAAACTGAATTGGAAAATCTAGGATACAAAACACGATAAACAACATTAGCTTAGCTTATGTATTTGTTATGCATAACTGAAAACTAAAGATTAGCCAAAGTAATAATTATCCACCAACTCCATTGATTAGACTCATTCAATTAAAAAAACACAAAACTTGAAGAATATAGAGATTAAATAGTTGAACTTGTGTGGGTCATATTCTGAACAGATTAAATGGTAAAAATAAAAATTTAAAGGATGATTAGTCACTCACAACAGATTAAATGGTAAAAATAAAAATTTAAAGGAAGATTAGTCACTCACAACAAATCAAGTTTGATAAGGATCAAAACCACAAAAAATAAAAACTTTTTTGATTAAGAATCCAAAGAAAAAAAAAAACCATAAGGGCCATTTATGCAGTTCTCTAAAAGAAAATTTGGTCTGGAAAATGAGGTATATATAGGAGCTTTCTTTGCATTTGCCCAAAAGTCGCAATCAAGACCCAAGACATGTTTACATACAAATCGTAATTACGTAATGTATCCATCCAATCCAATCTCAATCTGTGTGCATTATATCCTATACATTTCAACAACATATCAAATCTTTTGCTGAAAAGCAGTAGCATCCATGGTAATGCTATGCTGACTCCAACCCTCCAACTCAACGTCATCATCATCTACTGTCAACTAACTTTCAATCAAAACAAATTCCATAAACTCTAGTTATGATTAGCATCCTAAGGTCTTGAAAATGTCACGGAGCTTGTCAATAACAAGTGTTGGGTTAGCATGAGATCCAGAGAGAAATATAGGGTGATAATTGAGGCCTCTCCATTGAGAAATGAGTGCAAAATGAGGCCTCCGAAACTCACTAGCAATCAACTCCAGTATTTCTGCTTCTGGTGCTGCTGACACAATGTGAGTCAATCCAGCCCCATGAGCACCCACAATAACAGAAGCATCTTGAATGGCTCTGACTTGCTCTTTCATAGACATATGTCCAAACAACCCATTAACAACATTCACTTTACATTCTGTATGATTCAGCAGGGACCAACTCTGTATGGCATCAAACACTTGCTGTTCGTTACTAAGTCTGGACTGAACCTTGCCAGCATGGCGGGGATGAGCCAAATAATCCTCACGCCTCACAAAAAGAACATTGTGGGTGCGTGAGCTGTGTTTATGACTAGTGTGTAAAGGAAGTGCAAAAGCAGCTCTTATCATCTCCCCAAATTCTGTGATTCTGGCTGTTTTCTTATCATCTGGGTTATGCCAAAGATCATGGGCAGAAGCAGCCCCATAACAATCGATGTTTTCAGACAGACCCCTGAACATGGCCGTTTCATAACCTAAAGGCGACAGGATCGCATGACGAAAGCAAACCGGACCACTCAAGTTTTTAGCATATCTTACACCTGAGAACACAGCTTTCCATGTTTCTTCCAATTGCGTCTGAAAACAACAACATATACATACATGAAGAATCTTTTTTTTTTTTTTTTTTTTTTTTTTAAAGCAAGTAAATAAGACTCATCAACAGTAGGAGGCATACCATGCAGTGACCATCTATGAACACCAATTGAGGTCGGGTTGGCAAGCCAGTGACTCTGGAAGACACGTAGGCACTGTACCAGTCTGTGACTGTGTGAAACATGTTTGCATACTCAAACCGAGTGATCAGCAGTGTTGGCTCCTCAACCCACTATCAATATCATCATTCATCTCATTCTCAGGTCAATAATAAGAATTATAGTCTTTGTAACCCATAACTATGTTTCATAAATCATGTTATAATATTCAATCGATACATAATTCAATTAAAATGGATTATGGTAATCCTAAGTTTAGATATATGCAAAATCACAGTAGAAATTAATCAGATAACAGATAAGGAAATGTCCTTAAGGAGCCTTTAATCTCCATCAACAAATAACATCAGATTTACGTAATCAATTCAAGATACGTATTTAAGGTTATTATGTGTGAACGACGTGTCATTTATTGAACAATCTCTACAATTTGTTTCGTTTCGTCTATAGCAATTAATGATCAGCCGGAGTTCATTCATTACGAAACAAGTATTCAGTTAACAGTAACTGCAACAAGAATGGAAGGAATACCCTTACCTCAGAGCACTCAAATTCATTGGCGCCAACTAACTGAATTGAATCGACCAAGTCACGCATAGTATGTCTTGAGATCTCTCCTTTCTGCAAATATTCGTTCAAAAAACCCTCAGTAGCAAGCTTCTTACCATGATTCTTGGAATTCCCAGTAACCTCCAGATCAAAGGCTCCGAATTCAAACTCCGGCAACTCTTCCTCCTCCCCCCTGCCAATCACACTCTCCAATACCTCCCCACCAGCGGACATCTTAATTTTGTCTGGATGCATCCGCATCGTTCCGCCCTCGCATATGGAACTCCGCAAAGTCTCACTATAAAAGCACCGGAACCATCCTCTTCCACCATTACCCACTTTACGGTTACTTTCAGGCGAGGGCTTGAGCAGATCGACACGATGAGTGAATCCATTACCAAAATAGGCTTCACAGGATCTAAAAGAGATGTTAGGGGTTAAAGACCAAGGCAGGTAAGAAGGCAAGATGGGCCAGGGTTTATTGGAATTTGACAAAGAAACGAGATGGGTGCGATCGGAAAAGGGTGAGTGAAATTGTGGTATGGAATTAGGAATGTTTTGGGTTGTACGGCGGCGGCGGAAGTAATCGGGGTGAGAAGAAAAGTAGAGGTAAAGGGTGATCGAATTGAGGATGAAGAGAAAGATGATGAGTTTTAGGGATTTGGTGTTCATCTTCATCAGTCGTTGCAGTTTCCTCCCAGTCTAGTTGCTGCTTCATCTACCCCCCACTTTCAGACCATTTCCTTGCTTTTTCTTCTAATTTTTTTTTTTTTTTCTATTATTTTTTGCCTTTTTCCTCAAAATGAATCACCGGCTCACGCTCACCTATGTTTTGAAAGGTAGCAAAGCAACGCCTCACCCCTCGCGATTTTGTACCGCTACAAGTTCTAATAAGTTCATCCTGCCGGCAACCCGGCCTCCCCTCTTCGCCGTTGGCACCCCTTTCACTCTCCCCTGAAACTCATCGACTCCCTGCACTGTCCCCTCCTTGGCTTTTTGCCCTCCTTGCAATGTTATCGTCCGCTTCCTCATTCTCAAAATCATCAGGCAAGAAACGCCCTCCAATATTAAAAAGGTTTTTTTTTTTTTTTCACAGGGAAAATAACATAAAAACTGTTAAGTTTTCAAAAATAAAAAAATTAAAAAAAAATACTTTAAATTCACTCGCATAAGTGTAAGTTTCTTTATTTTTTGTGTTATAGTCAAGGTGTTAAGATCCACATTTTACCTAAGATTGTTTTATGTGTTGTAAGATCGTTATCGGAAGATCGGATTGTCATTGGAAGATCCTACCAAAATGAATTGATATTCAAATGGTATGCAGTATATATTATTACTTAATGTCAATTAAAACGTCCATATGGATCGAATGTTCCATTTTAAACATGAACTATAATTTTTATTGTTGCAAACCGTAAAGATTAAGAAGAAAACATATCAAGTACAAAAAAAAAAAAAAAAAAAAATCATTATGATCTGCAACTATAAGGTTAAGATCACAAATGAAATATCACGAGTGTAACATGCCTAATTCATGATGAATTGATGAAGTGATGATGCTCTATGAGGCTTATTCTGACTTGTGATGCTCGATTTCAAGTTGAATAGATGAATTTTCCAGGTTTGACTTTATAATAAAACTAGAAAGGTGGGATCGGATCGTGTTAAGATCTTAAGTCCTAATCGGAATCCTAAGATCCCAATATACATGTTGCTTTACATAGATCCTAGTGAGACCAGGATCGTTTTTTGCTTGTAGGATCTTAAAATCCTAAGATCTTAAGATTAAGATAGAGATCTTAACATTTACAGACACTTAGTAGGGTTTGAAGGTTGTAATCGGCTACCATGCCATTAGGTTGTTATGTTAGCATATCATCGGTTTTAATTGTTGACGTTGGTTGGCAAGTCAACTTTCTACCTTGATGACCATTTATCTTCTATGTCTTGACCCTTTATTTTCTCATTCGCGCTTTATGAAAGAACATAAGTTTCTCCCCCCATCATTCGTTTTCACTGTCGATTAGAACATTAGCATCACATCCTCACCGTCGATTAGAACATATCCTCACTGACTTCCTCCTCTTCCCCTTTATCATGCATCCCTTTATTAGGAAGTTTGAAGTAGAAGGGTTGAAGAGTAGTTAAAGAAGCAGATTTTAGATGCTAGACTCTTCAAATCTTAGTTAAATCTAGACCTAGCAATAGAGTTGGATTTGACCCTGATCTGCTCATTTTATGATTTGATTACCAGTTAACTGATGGGAATTCTAGGCTACAAAACTTATGTACATGCAAAAATTCTCTTAACACTTAAGGGTACATGCAACCTAATTTGATTTATGCCTTTTTAACATTTAATAGCAACACACTTAAGAACACAAACTAACCTTATGAATTTAGAATTCATGGTTAGAAAACATATCTTTTGTAGAGCCAAACAAGCTAATCAAAATCTTCATGTTTCTTTGGAAAACCTAACTCTAATTGTAACATCCGGATTCCCAAGTATATTATTATTCATTTAATTTTTTTGGAGTTTGTGAAGGAACTCGGCGAGTTGGCACCAAGACTCGTCGAGTAGGGACGCGGATGCTCATTCTATTTCATGACCGGACTCCGCGAGTCCATTCGTGGACTCGGCGAGTCCAAGATGTTTAGTGAAGCCCTAATTTCTAGGGCTTGGAACCTATTTAAAGGCCCTTATGGCCGTCCATTGTGGCTACTACCCCCAGAGAGAATCTCAGATCGTTTGAGAAGCAAGGAGTGACCATTGTTGATCTTTGTGATGTCATTTAGTAACAAGAAGGAGGTTCTAGCCAAGGGAAAGCAAAGGAGGTTGCTATTCTAAGGACTAAAATCTAAGATCATTCATTTGAGGTATTATTTCGACTCTTCTTCTGTTTTGGGAAGGATATGTGGTTTTAAGGTTTCTTGTACCCTTGACTAAGTTGATTTGAGGTCCAAGTAGTCCCTTCTAGAGATAAGGCTTTGTACCTGGACACATAGAGGTCTAGAGAGCCTTATTCTTCAAACTTTATGAAGAACAATGGAGGTCATGACCTTGGGTTAAGGTATTTGGGACAAAATCATCATTTGATGCTTATTGGTTGAGTTATAAGGATCAAGATTCAGACTTTACGTGACATTTATGCTTGGGAAGGCCAGATCTATGGATTAGGGGCACAGATCTGACCACAGGAGATCAATAGAGTTTGTGCATGGCATGAACTCACCGAGTTGTTCTTGGGACTCGGCGAGTAGGGTTACGGTCCACGCAGATCACTTAGTGAGTAGACTTGCTGAGTTGGGAGATAACTCAGTGAGTCAGAAGGGGGTTAAAAGACTGGAGTTCAAGGCGGTACTCGCCGAGTTGTTCTTGAGACTCGGCGAGTTGAGTCGGGGTAGCCCCGCGATTCATGCCAGGTGTGACTCGTTGAGCATAGGGTAGGAGTCAACGTACCAAGCGGGATAGAGAGTTAGTGGACATGTGTGTACTCGCCGAGTCACCGGAGTGCACTCGGCGAGTTGGGTTAAAGTTGACCATTGACTTTTGTTGACTTTTAGGGTTTGGTCAACAATGGAGTCCTTGAGACAAGAGGGGGGTAAAATAGCCTTTTACCCTTCTGAGGGTGACAATAGAGGGTCGAGTCTAGCCTCGAGTGTTATGTTCATGAGGGTATTTACTTTGTGTGAATAGGTGGAGGCTAGGCAATACTTCTACCGAGTCAAAGATTTACGAGACGTCCGAGGTGAGTCTTCTCACTATGCCTTACCCGATGGAGTAATTGTATGTGACCGAAGGGTCTTATGTGTATGATGTATATGTGATGTAATATGTGTATGTTATGTGATATGAGCATGATGTGGGCCGGAAGGTCAACCGATTCTGGGATGGAAATCCCCTGAGACACTTGGATCGGAAGGTCCTATGGCATGGAAAGACGTATGTGATATATGTGGTATTTTGGGGAACTCGCTAAGCATTTATGCTTACAATGTTATGTGTTATGTGTTTCAGGTACTAGCGATGATCGCGGGAAGGTGCCGGCATGACTCGTACACACGCACACTGGAGTTTAAATATTTTGATCTTGGGGTTTTGTACTGATACAATTTAGATACAATGTTTTTATTTATGGATGCAAACTATATTTCATGGTTTTTCAAAAGTGAAAAATTGTTCAAATTTTCACGGTGTTACAAGTTGGTATCAGAGCCTTGGTTTGAGGGATTCGGATATATCTTCGGGCGTATCTGAACTCAAACTGGTGATTTGAGGAAATTTTTAATAATAAAGTAAAATTTTTGAAAAAGAGAAAAAGGGTTTTGAGACAAAAGGAGCAGAGTCGTGTGTACGATCAGCCAGCGCCCGAACGGTGATTTCCAAAAATAGTCTCATAATAAGTGTTATTAGACATCCTATGTTATGCTATGTGATGAATTACGATATGCATGCTAGAGTAGACTAGGTATTCTTATTAGGACTAGAGTGGCCTGATATATGATGCCTTACTCTAGGGGTTTTGCTGCTAGAAATGCTTAAGAGTGTTTAGGTAGCAGCGAGGTACTTATGAGAGAATTGCTAGCGAGTAGCACATGCTAGTAAGAGTAGAGCACTTGGGATTTGGGGATCAAGGAGGAGGACTTGGGATGAATGCCGATACGGTATGGACAGTAGTATTGGGCCCGTACTACTGAAGATATCGGGTTGGTGCGCAGTCCAAGTAAGAATCCTTAGGGTACTAAGGAACCAATGGGGTGGAGTTATCGAGTGTGATTATACTCGAGTGGGTCCCTAATATTCTTATGTTGTATTTTCATAGGGAGATCATGGTTAGGACACACCACACACCAGAGGTCAATGGGACGAGTGATGAGGAGATCCGTAGGATCATCCACGAGGAGGTGGATGCGGCCATCAGGGCTGAGATTCCAGAGATGTTCGGGTCTATTAATACCACCTTGATTGAGACTTTTGATGAGCGGTATGCTTCTCTTTCTGATGTTGTTGTTGCTGCAGCCACAGCAGCCGTTGCTGCTGCCAGGCCGCAAGGGGGTGACTCGTTGTTGTATCGGGAGTTCAGCAACACGAAGCCACCAGAATTTGACGGAACTCAGGATCTGATAGCCGCGATGAGGTGGGTTTATGACATAGAGGGGTACTTCTACACATGTTCCTATCCGGAGCATCTGAGAGTTCGGTTCGCGCTGAACCAGCTTCGCCTGGGAGCGAAGGACTGGTGGAAGTTTGTGACGGCACACTACACCCCTGCTGAGCTTGTTGCAGTAACCTGGGAGAGGTTCACTGCTATGTTCCGAGATGAGTACGTTCCCCAGGTGGAGAGGGTGCGATTGGCACAGGAGTTTCTAACCCTTAAGCAGGGTACTGAGTCGGTTATAGAGATTACACAGAGGTTTCACGAGAGGGCGATGTTCTGCCCTGAGCACGTGTCGACCGAGCAGGCACGTATGAGTCGATATCTGAGCATTTTGAGGAGAGACATTCGTGAGTTTGTAGCAAACTCATCATACCGGACATTTGCTGAGCTTCAGGCAACTGCCCGGAAGAGGGAGATCGAATTGGAGACGCAGGACAATGAGGAGGCCGAGTCTCAGAGGATGGATCGGCAGCCGGTACAGTCTCAACCAACAGCCAAGTGGGCCAAGCCCGCCGATGCGAGGACTGGGGGTCAGAAGGGCCGCACTTGCAGAAAGTGCGGCAAGGGTCATGACGGAGTTTGTAGGGTTGGTGCTTGCTACAAGTGTGGCAAGGAGGGGCATATCGCCAAGGATTCCCCCAAGGGATTCATGGTCTGTTTTCACTGCAACCAAACCAGACACCAAAAGGCGGAATATCCACAATTGTGAGGGATGACGCAGGGAGCACCTCAGGGATCTGCCCCTACTGTTGCAAGAGCTAGTGAGAGTCGGCCTGTGAAAGCCGAGGCGCCAAAGGCGCGAGGGAGAGCATTTCAGCTGACAGGGGAGGAGGTCCGTGCAGCACCTGACGTCGTGGCTGGTATGTACTCTATCATGTATTCATTTTATGTTGAGATATTGT